AGTTCATTGGTGGGTTTTATTAGGATTAATATTTTCCATCTATGCTCATTGGTTTGTGGGTGGTTCGCCGGTAAGTCCGTACATTGGTAGGTTTTATTATGATTCATGTTTTCCATCTATGCTCATTCGTTTGTGGGTGGATCTGTTACTGGAATAAATTACTTCACTGATAGTTAAAAATATGAGTTAAGAAAATAAATTCTTTTAATGTAGACCACAAATAAATTTTAGCGATGAGGTTATTTACTGCTTGTTAAAAAGTTCTTTAATATTTATCTATTTTCAGCACTTGAAGTAAGTAATTTTCATTAAAAATTAAGCAAAAGTTTAAAAAATTTTAAATTGACGAATATTACTTAGGTAAACTGGTGAGCTAATACACATGAATACACTCCTTAGCGTTTCCTTTCCTTACCTTAATATCTATCTAGCCTATCCCTATCCTGAACCATTTATTCAAAGATAAATATAGCGCGAATCTATTCCGTAAAGATATTTTAACTTTTTACTAAAATATCTTTATCATTAAAAATAGTTGGTTGCACACTATACAATTCACCCCTACACCACAATTTAATTTTATTTATTTATATATTTATTATTTATACATCGTTATGCAGCTAACATTTACAATGTCCGAAGAATCTGGCGACATGTGTGGAAAATAAATTTCAAAACATTTCAAATTTAAGTCGCACAGTAATGCATGAATGAGTTTTGCTAGGTTCCGAGTTTTCCTATGTCTTTTCTACCATAGCTTCTAAAAATGATTCTGCGAGCGACGTATTCACCCGGGTTTCAAATCCATTTGCTTCAGGGCACACGCACCCCTCCCCGCGCTGACTATCAAGCCCCATCGGACGGTTTTTTGTGCTTTTATAAGTAACTTGTAATAAGTCACCTAGAAGAAAAAGCATTTGCTCTTTTCCTCTATTTTACAACTAAAAACAAGAAATATTTCATAAATTATGTCCTGGTTTAAAAATGGCATATTTTTATCTAAAGAAATTTAATTTTTTGTATTCTACAAAAAAAAAAAAAATAAGATGAACAATATTTACGAAACTATGATGTAAGGATACATGTTCTTCTGATTTAAAAAGTTTCTCAAAATAAGGCACAGAATTTTTTTTTAAGTTTCAGTGTTGGGGTGGGGGTTCTAAAAATGAAAAATCTAACTTTTGTATGGTCTCTGTTGATCAACTATTCAACTAATAAAATGATCATGCTTTAAGAAGTTCAACCTTAACTCCCATACCTTAATATGTAAAATTTGTAGGTATACTCATGAACAAATTCACTGACATAAATCACTTTTCATTGTCTATTACTAAACAGCTTCAACGCTAACCAAATCTATTGAGAAGCATATATTCTTGCTCTGGCAATCAATAGTTCCATACTGGGTAAATGACATTTGTTAATTTTGCAGCCAATTACATGAAATGACTAAGTATTCATATCTTTTGAAATTCCATACATAAAGGCATGAAACTTTTGCATTTAACTTGTTAAAGCATAACGAATATTTTGGTAAATGGAATTTGTACTTATCATATAAAATGTTTGTTAAATTTTGTGTTTACAGAATCCTGCCATCAACAGTGTAATAAGTTACCTCACTGGTAGTTAAGTATAATAAGTATATTATTGTTTTCAGGAAATTCTCTCATCTTTTTGAAAAATACTATATTGGAAGTATACGGCTAGGCTCAATACTTAAGGAAATATATCCTATTAGCCATGCTTTTCGAATGCTTTAAGATACCGCTGCATAATATAAATTATATCTAATAAAATATTAAAATCTAATTACAGTATTTAAAGAAATATTTTAATATTTATAACCCAGCAGTACTTTAACAAATAAGGAAATCATTCACTTAATCTTCATTAATAATTAGACATTCTAATATGACTGAGCAATATACAATTTTGCAAAGGAAAAGTTACTGCTCTATTTAGATTAGTTATATTAAAAATATTGCCCGATTCATGCCAAATATTTTATTAAACAGCAAAATTTTATTTGTTGTGATATTGTTTAATATAATGTTTTATAATAAAGAGTTTATAATCACTTTAATTTAGAAGTAAATAAAATAATCCTTTATGATGGAAATTTTTTGTACAATTGAGCTTCTACACTATTTAATTTATATTTCTAAACAAAAATATTTTTATTAGCACTTTCATAATAATTTTTTCCCTTTCATTTCTTCTAACAGAAATATGATAAATATGCAAATACATTATCAATTCTTGCTACATGCCATCTATTGGCGTAACAACATTAGCTATTAAAATAAATCTAACTATGATGCCAAAAATCCCTTGGAAATTCAGAAGGAAAAAATAAATGCACAGTCCGTAACTGGAACTTCTTCAGAATGAACTGATGAAATGGATATTCAAAACTCTCATTATATGAAAGATAAATAATTACTCTACATTGTTTACAACAATTTAAGTTTTTATATATAAAGTGGAATAAATTATAGATATGTTTAAAAGAAAAGCATTCCAGAAAAATTTAAGCCACAGTTTTTAAACTCAGTTTCCAAACTTGAAATATTAAACAATATTTCTTCCTTGATTAGGGAAGCATATATTTCAAAGTCCACAGATGTCCCAATGAAATTTGAATCTTCCAATTAATTTGCATATTTTCTACAGGAAGTTTTATATAACACGCTCTTAGTTTCAATAATCAACAAATATTAAGATACTGCATGCTATCTGCTTGTGATGCCGTTTTCAGTCACAGGTGAAATTAAATGCAGTATGTTGCCTACATGTTTCAGTCTAAACACACTATGCTAAATATCTACATACATTTAAAATCATAATGATAAACTACAATCGTATGAATCGCAATAATATACAACAACATATTCATTTCCTTAAATTAACACAAGAATTCTAATCAAGAACAATTTTATGCTTAAAGAATTTTGCATCTTTCAAAGTCCTTGTTAACCAGAACAAAAAAAGACCATGTACATTAACATGTAAACTCATGTACATTATTTACTTGTAATTCACATAATCAAATTTATTTATATACTTCACACACACAAATGTGGACATAACATTAACTCAAAATCTCAAGTGTACATATTTACACATTCTGTTGCAATACATAAAAAAAATGAGCAAAGAGCATGAGATTATTTTAATCTCATGCTCTTTGCTCATTTTTTGCTTGCTTTTAAATTTTTATGTATTAGACATACAATCACTCTATCATGACACCTTGAACAAACAGTAATAATATGAAATGAATTAACAGAAACGTGTCAAATAAAATGAAGTGCAGAGATACATTTATCAAAATGGAAATTTCTTCTGATCTCAATACTTTAAGGAACAAGCCATAATAAATAAAACAACTATAGTAAACAGATACCTTTTACTAGCTTTCACTTACTGAAATAGGATTTGAGAGACAGGGAAAGAGTTAAATTTTCAGAAGCAAGTAAAATGTAACTGATTTTTTAAATCCAGACACAATTCTGACACATGAAAAATGCAAACTATCTAGTTAGACTTATAACATCATACCCATTTAAATGTCACATATGTTACCAGATAAAGTATATATGACTGCATTAAAAATAAATTCAGATCAAATGATTGAAGTACTTATTTGAAACGGAGAAAAGAAAAGCATACACATTGCAAACAATTTTTTACTGGTGCTATGAAAAAAGCTTAATTTTATAAACATGCTTGTAAGTAAAAAAAAAAAAAAAAAATATTTTCGAACAGGAAGCATTTTTAAATATTGCCTAAAATTATATTAGCTTTAAGATTATCAAAATTTGATAGCTAAATATACACTAAAGCAACTGCAGTGAAAAATAAATTGATATTTCAGTATTGATGAATATGGAAAATAAATTCATCTGATGATGTAACATTTTATTAAATCTACTGCATAACTCTGAGAAAGAAAATTATTTCACTCTATTCAAAACAGATGAAAGAGTATGAAGTAGTCACACTTGTTTACCTTAATTTTGCGATTCTTAAATATAGCATTTTCAGTTTTTACTTAAAGATCTTTTATTTACCGATTTTGAAATGGTTAAAGCTGAAAACTGAAAAGACTTACAAATAAAGGGCATTCGAAGTTCAACGCTATAAAATTTGTTTTAATATTGCACTAGGTTCATGCACAAAAAATCGCAAAGTAAATAAAACAACAAAATATTTCACGCTATTTTATAAATTTAATAAGGCGACAGTATCTATGGCAGGCTTCTGATCTGCTGTAATATCAACAAAATCACCACGTAGAATTTACATACATATTTAAATAAAATAAATATACTATTCTTCGCATATCTTAAAATTCTTCGTAAATACAAAAATATATCATAAACTCACTAAATATGACTGATAAATAATATTTCGAACGTATTTAAAAGAACAGCACGTGCCTAGCGATGAAATGTAAACATTAAGCGTAGAAATTGAAATCATTCTCCTTTCACCACCTAAATGCTGCCGCGAGACCCAACAACTTATTGTAACCTATATTTTTCAAACATCACGCGCGAAAACCGCGAATTAGAGCAAAACTGTAAATAATAAAACAATACCGGATAGAGCAGAGACAGCATAAGGATAACATGATTAAATGCAATATGCAATCTTCTATTAAAGCCGGGGAAAACATACGGAATTTTCCTAAAATTCGCGGACTTTTAAAGTATTCGTTATCACGATAAATTGGCCAACATATGTAATATTTTGTTCTATTAAGCCTAACAAACAAGAAGGGGGGAATGAATTTCCCGGCAGCCGTGAGCAAAGTGGACCTTCAGCGCTAAGGGAATGTCAACATTAAGCAGATAATTTTAATAGTAACGAGTTAAACCCAAGTAAAGCGCTCCGAACAGGTTTGAATTTGAAAGTGATACATCCGTGTCGTCAGTTTGATTTTTTGAGCATGCATGAATAAGGGAATATTTTAATTATGAACATACACTTACCCCATAAACCAGTCGACGGTGTCCCGAAGATATTCTGGTAGCCTATCCAGCTTGGAAGCAGATTCGATACAAACACCTTGTAATATGAGAACTGAAGTAGCAATGACTAAAAACCAGCTGTTAGACTTCCTCGCTCAGGATGTCAACAGAGCAGCGCGTATACTTCGACTCAACATGGCCGACGGGATCATTCTGCGCAAGAAGCAGAGCAAAATTGCGTCAATAGGTGGCAGTACTATCGCGCGCTAACCCATGTACGTTCCCCGCTTGTTTATGCAGATTTTGTTTTTCATTGCTAGAGTAAATACGCTGATGAAACTACGCCTGGAAAGCATTTGTTACATTTTTTTTTTTTAAATATATTGCCACAGCCAAAACAAACACACCCTCAGCGATATAAAGAATGTACTTCTTTAATATCAGCTTAGTACAGAAAGGGGCGTATCCAAAATTTTGTCATAGGCGGGTCTCTAAATTTCATGCCTCTCTGTGCGGAGCTTAATTCCTAAAATAAAAGAGTAGGAATTCTGATCGAAGAAATGTTGAAAAAATAAATAGTCAAGAAATGGAAAAGAATGAAGCAAATAAAAAAAATCGCTAAGATAATAATAATTAATACATCAATTTTACTTGGATACTTCTAAAAACAAATATTTTCGAGAAATATTAAATTTTAGAGTTTCCACTCATATGAAATTTCTCATCGAAAATATTAAGCTGATTGTTGGTTATATGAATATGGCAAAGCACACGAGGGCTATCTGCGTAAGAGAAGAAATGCCTTCGTGGAGGACTTGCAGAGGGAGCCTGACTCGTATTCACGTTACACGAAAACCAGCCATGCACCCAGCCCGTTCGTCTGAGTTCGAACTCAGAACGAACTACTACCGTTTGAGAGTCTTTAACTGCTCGGCACTGATGGGGCCGAGAATTTTAATATAAAACATAGAACTATTAAGTTCGCAAATACAGCATCCATTAGAAACCAAATTCATGTACTAAATTATCTTTTATAGCCAAGTTTAAAATCTTTTCCTACGTTTTGATTCTAATTGGTTCTTATTTTTGACAATTCCTGTTAATACATTATCAAAAACATTTCTTCACGATTTTTCGTATCTCAATGGCTTCGAAGAGACTCATTTCCCAGCGGTTTCCTTTATAACAGTTTAAATGTATTCTCTTAGTAAGTCCTCTAGTACAAAAATAAAACTAATGTTATTTTATATAACATTATTTTATTCCTCTAGTACTAATTAGTTTATTCCTCTAGTACAAAATAAAACTAAGTCCTCTAGTACAAAAATAAAAATGCTGATAAAAAATATGCTAGTTTATTAAATGCCGAAACAGAGGCCACCGTGGCATTTTGTTTGTATTTTCTTATATCTAACGTAACCTATTCCCTTAAGAAACCTCCCAATAGCTTAGTATTTTTGTAATAAACTATAAAATGCCGGAAATTTTGATTGAAATTTAAATGCTTAAGGAATATTGTATTTTGATAATATTTCTCTACAACGCCGAGTACACAAAAATTCTTACCCGGCTTTTATTTCCACAAACGTTGGTAGCAGGCATACAAAAATGTTTTAAATGACTCAAATTAATTTCCTCTTTTTTACTTGTTTAATTAAGAAAAATAATTTTGAATATTTTTTTAAGTTTCTAATGGCAGTAAAAAAAATTAATGATTTTAAAGTCTGCTGTGAGATATGATTTAACTCCAATCAAAAGGCCACTGGCAATTTGCCTAGCCTTGGGTACAATACAGATAGCGCAGTCCTTGAATGGGAAATATTTGGTATCTTTGGTTACAAGACTGGCCCCCATGACTGTAAAAACGTCAGTGTTAAGGGTCTTTAAAGAATGGAGAAATTCCTGACTTGCTTGCGATAAGCCATTCAAAACGTTGGGAATCGGATCCTTTTCCAGAGCTGCAGATCATTTTGCCTACAAGACGTTGCCCAGGGTACACCATGTGGAGGTAGATCTACTTCTTACCCTATTTTGTATAAAATAAGAAAGCAAACGTTTTACACATACCTCCGTTTATATTTAGAAAAATCAGAGCTTAAATTGCGCCGGAGTCCACCGGAGCCTGGCTCCGGTACTTCTTAAGTTTTGGGGATAAATCATAATTCTAGATGGAGCGCACCGGAGCTCTAAATGAAAAGGCTCCAGAACTCCTTTTGTGTAACTGAACAACAATCTCAGTGGAAATCTGATCTCGAATATTTTACTCTTAGCAATAAAATTGTATTAAAAATCGCTTATTAAATTTTGATTTATCTCTATAATTTAATTTTAATCATTTACTTACTTTAATATTTAATTATTAATTAATTGAAAACAATTAATAATTAAATAACAATACAAATTAATTATTAATATGGATTTAATAATTATTCTTGTAATAATTTAATTTTTTAATTATTAAAGATTTTAATGGTAATTTAATTTATTTATTTACTTTTGTTCCTCTTTCATCCTGCATAGAGCTTCGGCACTTCTAATTTTAGAAATTAAGCCCTGAGAAAAATTTTGTACTCGTAATAGAAAATAAAACACTAAAGTTTGTCTCCCATATGAAAAAAATTGACAGTGATTTCAAAATTTGTGATATTTGACGTCATTTTGAATTTGCATTGAGGGATCGGTCACTAAACAATTAGAATATTTTGAGGTTAATTCCCCCCCCCTCAGATGCCCTTCGACGATATTCTTTTGAGATTTACCAGGGACTTTATTTATACTTATAACTTTGTTACATTTGGTATGCTGATAAAATTTCACGCAAGTAACTGATGAATTTTCAAACTCTAAAAGTATGTTATTAATATTCTCATGAATTTTTATGACTTTAGAATTATAATCTGGTAATCGGACAAACAAATTATTTGATGAAGATATTTTTTTTTCTAATTATACATAATTTATGAGCTCCGATACTGAATCTCCAGTGTTTTCAAACACAACTGTATTCTGTGAATTGTAATAATTCTTTTTTTTTTTGGGGGGGAGGGGAATTATATTATCATATTTTCACATTATTACATAAATACTTATACGTAGTTTCTGACATTAAAACTTTTTTCTAGGCGATTTAATTTAATTAAAAGATTTAATTTTATTTTAGTTACGTACATGCAACATTCGCTGTTATTTGTGTACAAACACGAAGAACGCCGATTTTAATATTAATAATATCTCGTCACGTTTGCCCGTACGGGAGTCAAATGATTTGAGTTTTTTATTTTATAACGAGGGCAAAATTTTCTTAAATATAAGTACTGAAGGAACGTTTAAAAATTTAGATTTCATATTTTTCATTATATAATTTTCTTTTGATTTAAAAGCATAAAACAAAAAGATGAATCTTTGCACTTTAAAACATCTTTATCATTAGAAGTATTTATCTACGACAACGGCTGCGAAAGTAATGGCCGGATAAGTATTTTTGTTGATACGGAGTATATAAACCACAAAGGCATTCATGTGAGGTTCACGGTAATCTACGGCTGACTTTTTTGTCGAATTTTTAAATTTATTTTGGAGTATCTCTCTTCCTTTTGATGTTTATTGTGTTTATACGGTTTGCCTGGATTACGTGATTTATGGATTACCTGCCTTTTCGCATAACTTGCTCGCTTTTTATTTAAATAGTAAAATAATTAATAAAATAAAAAATAATTGTTTTAATATTCTAAATATTTGCAACTAAGTAGTTTTCTAAGATAGAGCATTCAAGGGATATGTGTTTCGAAAGAAATTTCTTTACGGATCATTTTTTAAGGAAACTTAATGTCAGTAAGACTGCAAACTCTCCCGTAGTTTAAAAAGTTAACTTGATAGACAAAAACCGAGGTTATTTTTGGATTCAGAGGCCAAACGTTAAGCAAAACCAAGTGACAGATCTAAGACAACAAGATTATTGTTCCCCAGTGGAATGAACACTTCTCCTTATCTGCACTCTGAAGGATTTACAACTTGCCAAGAAGGCTAGATCCAGCTTCCTCGAGCTCAGCTGACGTTTGTACTCCCTTACCAGCAGCAAGAAGAGTCTACTCCCAAATTCATGGAGAACGAAAAAGAAACCAAAGAATTTAGCAGTGCCAACCACAACTTACGAGCATTTGATTTTACTTAACCAAGACATTGGATTTCGCCAAATAATTTCAAGATGGAAACTGGATTTCGCTAAAAAAGCCAGATCAACCTCTATCGCCTTTCGTGAAATTCTCGAAACACCCTACTACAAATCTCTTCACCTCGCTAGAGGTTGACTACACGAGCAACCTGGAACATACAGCAAAAGCTAACTCTAGCACTCGTCTGAGACTGAAACCTCCTCCAGTCTTCTCCCCAGGTCTGAAAACGTCATAGTTAATGGAAAAACTTAAGTTTATTCATTGCGTACATAATTTTTTATTTTGTGGGCACTCTAAAACAATAATTTATTAAACTGGATTTTACCAATGATGAAGCCAGGGATGTTCATCATAACACCATAATTGGCCAAAAGAGAAACTTTTGAGTAACTTTTGGCAGACTTTCCCTGCACACAGAAGAAAAAGCAATTTTTGATGCGCTTGTAGCATTAAGCATACCTGTGAAGGAATGGGAACTTCAACTTCCAGGATATCTGATTGTTTGACTTACGCAAATATCAGCTCTTTAATGAAGATCTACACAAGATAGAAGTGCAAGCGAGGCATTTTCTCAAACTTCATAAAATGTCCCGAATTCATATCCGCAATACATCGTTTAGCGCAAATGTTTCAGCCGAGAATCGACTGTTTAAACTAATGTTGAGTGTGTGAGTTTGATTATGACAAAGCCTCGAGGGCTATCTGCCTAAGGGGAGGGATGCCTTCGTGGAGAACTTTCTAAGGGAAACTGGCTCGTATACACGTTACACATGGGGAAAACCAAAAACCTAATGTTGAGAGAAAATCGTTTCTCTGAATCGTTTCTTGTAGTGTCTCTATATGTGATAATCCCAGTATAAACATCTAAATCTTCTCTTTTCCCTTCCCTTCTTCGGCCCCCAGGGCTCACCAGCGGCAGAGTGGTAAAGTCGCTGAATACTGGTAGTTCGGTCCGAGCATCGAATCCTGCGAATGGGCTGGTTGTTTTCCCATGTATAACGTGTATACGAGCCAGTTTCCCTTAGAAAGTCCGAGCCCACCACGGCCAGCGAAAA